CACCTTCGACACCACGCACGAGAGGTCTACCGCGCGATCGGTGGCGAGCTCGACGGCTCGCCCCTCGACGCGCAGCGGATCACGTACTCCCGCGAGGCGTCGAGCGGTATCCTCCTCGCGAGCGCCAGGGACAGGCACCCGCGGCGACCCCCCCGCTGATGAGACTGAGCTCGCTTCTCTCCGCGGGCTGGTGGACGGCCTGAGGGAGGAGCTGCAGCGGAAGCGCGATGAGGCTGCCGGTGATCGCCAGCAGCTTCAAGCAACGATCGACGACCTGATCGCCACCCAAGCAGCAGGACCTGGCCTTCCGGGGGGGGGTGCAACTTGTGGGCACAACCGCCCCACCATCGGCCTCTCGGGCCCCCGCTACACCCAGCGCCGAGGCGGCTAAGGCTACGGCAAAGGATAGAGCGCGGATGTGGGGGGACCTCCGCCGGGTAAAAGCGTGGCTCATCCTGGGGCGGCCCCCGGCAGTTTCAAAACTGTCGCAGATGGAGTGGCAATCCTTGCTTCGCAAAGGCGTCCTGGTGACAGAGAAAGTGGCGGCATCGCTCGACACGCTCGTGGTTACTGCTTCGCCTTCAACTCGTCGTCCGGTTGCCATGATCGTAACTGCCCACACATCCACGCCCAGAACCCTTCCCACGCTAGGCGCGGAGCGTCCGAAACTCCGGCAACCGGCGCGCGCGGCGTTGGCCACGGCAACGGGGGAGGGCGCGGAGGAGAGGCGCGCGCCGCTGGCGAGGGCGGCGCGAGACCCAAGGCCGCTGGCTTCTTCACCCACGGGAAAGACAAATAGGGGTGCGGGCTCTCCCGCGTAGCGGGGGGGCCTACCTCGGATGGCAGCGCACCTGCGGCTAAATCGAACGGCAGCACGCCGGTCTACACGAGGTTGGCTCCAGGGCTATCAGCAGGTTCAGGACCTGGGACAGGCAGGACGGGACTTTGTTACCGACGTCTTGGCATGCAGCTCGTCGAGCACTCAGTTGCGTCTTCGTCTAGAAGGACTTACACGTCAGGCTTCAACTCTTGGTGCACGTTTCGCAGGCTGACGGAGAAGCCCAAGTTCCTAGGGCAACGTGCCGGGGACCTTCATGTGTGGGAGTTGATAGACTTCGTAGCCTGGTGTTTCGAGTCTGAGGGTAATCTAGCGAGTACAATATCCGGAAAACTCACGGCTGTACAACATTTTCATAGGCTGGAAGCTTCTGTCGAGCTAGACTTGTCGTCTCCGATGTTGAAATGTGCGCTAAGGGGGATTGCGAGGAACCACGTGGCTGTGGGGACGGTACGCCGTGTGCGCCTGCCTGTGTCTTGGCGTATGCTGCTGGACGGGGAAAGCGCAAGCCAGAACTGGGGGGAAGGGGGCAGAGTGATGTGGCTGTGTCTGTGCTTGTCCTATCTCTTTATCACACGGTCTGATGAGGTGTTCGCGAATGATGCGGGCAGGGTGCATGAGGCACACTGTCTTACGAGGGCGGACGTAGCATTGTTTGCTGGCGAGACGCAATTAGTCTTTAGTCACTATCGTAGAGCAGACCGTGTCGAAATGAGGTTTAGAGGGCACAAGGCCGATCAAGAGCAGAAAGGAAACATACGGGTTCGTACGCGAGACGAAGTCACCGGACCGCAGTCAGGTGTGAGAGCACGCGGTGGCGCGGTGGCTCTTGTGGTGGAGCTGTTATCGTGTCATGCGACGTTCCCTGACTCCGCACCGTTGGCTTCGTACCGTAGTGGAAGAGCAGTGAGAGTAGTGAGGTATACTGCTGCCCTCCGTGCACTCAGAGAAGTGGTAGCGAGGTCGGGGCGTAACCCCCAGGAGTACGCGTTGCACTCGTTGCGAATTGGAGGCGCGACGGCTCTTGCATCGGGCGGAGACATCGCAGAACGAGTGATTCAGAGAGAAGGGAAGTGGAGGTCGGATGCATACAAGCCGTACGCGCGAAACAATGTAGAGGATTCGCGGCGAGTGTCACGGAAACTTACAGACGGCAGTAGGATCGTATCGAGACAGCCGGGGGAGGGGACCGTCTGGGGGAACGGATAGTTGACTTATTCGGTAGTCGTCCAGAAACTGACCTCGATGTGGGTGTTGTAGAATGGTGTGTACCATTTGAGGACTTGGTCAGTTTTGGGACTCCTGCGTTTGCAGTCGTAGTCCCCCTGGCTAGTATTTGTGGGGAGAGAGATGGATTTGTAAGAGTTGACGCCGGCCTTTGCAGCTAACGCGGCCGGAGAGACGATGAGCGTTTCGTGCGTCTCTCTCCCCCAACACGTAGCCTAGAAACCGAAGAAATAATGAAGCAATTCGAAAGAAAACAAAATAAAAGGAAGGTTTGTTCGTCGAAGCAGATAGAATAAACTGGTGTTTATTTTGTAACAGTCGAATTAGAATTTGGCTTCATTTTCTACCGGAAACCCAGGGTCACGGTGTTTGGAATTATTAGTCTATAGTTGGGGGTGTCATTCCGTGATCGAGTCCACGCAGGGGCTGTAGCAAAGTCGGGTAACGTGTGACAGCTACAGAGCGCGTGAAGCAACGGAAGGACAGCAGCAGCCGCCTAACGCAGTAGCGGCGGCAGTTTAGAAAATCCCGCCCTCCCATCCCTTTTCTTTCGAAGGTGGGGGCATAAGTTCGGGAATATTCGGTATCTAGTCAGGTGTTGTAGAATGGTGTGTACCATTTGAGGACTTGGTCAGTTTTGGGACTCCTGCGTTTGCAGTCGTAGTCCCCCGGCTAGTATTTGTGGGGAGAGAGATGGATTTGTAAGAGTTGACGCCGGCCTTTGCAGCTAACGCGGCCGGAGAGACGATGAGCGTTTCGTGCGTCTCTCTCCCCAACACGTAGCCTAGAAACCGAAGAAATAATGAAGCAATTCGAAAGAAAACAAAATAAATCCGTATGCACGTACTGTATGCACTCTATGCTGTAGATCTCCGAAAGTTCGAGAGTGGGCCGCACTCCCTTATCCGTCCATCATCGAATGAATGTAGATTACAGAATACGTACGTATATACGATCCATTATGAGGATATCCACGCGTTGTTTGAGCGTGAGTCCCTCGAGATCAGAATATGTCGGCAATTACGGAGCACTAAAGTATATCCATGGCGATCCTTCGTTTTGGATATGGGAATCTCCGAAGATTGTACCGGCGATCTTTCACTTTGGACTTTGGATATGGGAATCTCCGGAGATTGTGTCAGCTTGTTGACCAGTGTGGCCAGAAGAGCAATGAATGAGACAAGAGGTTCCTCACGCCTGCGTTCATCGATCGGTGCCAGATGTTTAGTCTCGCTCAGGTAGACGGAACGGCCACCAGCGATCTTGTTTAGCTGTTCGCTCTCGACAAGACTCGCTCGACGCGGTGAGGGGTTGTTCAAAGAAAAACGGAAGAGTCCGAACTGTGGACTATTGCTGACTATCGCAGTGTAGTCTGCCGCAGCGCCGGGTACAGAACATGTTGAAACGGTTTTTACAGTATGGCGTACATGTACACACACATCCGGTTGACGCGTTCGATGCTACTAAGAAAGACACACACATCTCTCGAACGCCAACCGCCTGACTCTAACCTTGGACGACGTGAGCGCCACACGGTGAGGGCTGGTACTTTGAATGTCGACATTGATGGATCGGATCAATGTTCGTCCCGTACAACGTCATGCGATCACGTACGTAGTAGGGAGCCAGTTGCTCCTGCGTTCCTGGTAGCCAAGCAACCACGTACGCGACGCACCCGTGTCTCGGACGCTTGCCTCCCGCCTCTGCGTTGTGTCTCTGCCCCTCGCTCTGTGGCTCTCTCGGGCGCTCTCTCACTTGAATCTTGCGCATGCTTCCCACCGCAAACCGAACATCGGCAAGCGAGGTACACGCTTCTCTCCCGAGTCTGTCAAATAAGTAGATTGCTGAATTAGGCGATCACAAGTGGGTTGTCCACGAGGATGCCTAAGGATCCTTGCTACAACTGTACAAGCATTGAGCTCTCAACGTTGGTACAGATTCTATCCTTCAAGAAAATCCCCGCCTCTCAATGTACAGCTGTATTGAGCTGTATGCGCAACAGCACAGGATCCCTGTACAAAAAAATGGACATCTACTGTACAGTATGTACAGTAGTACCGAGAGAGAGCCCGCATTAAGAACTTGGCAGTAAAAAAACGAGCCTATGAATACTCAAATTCTAAGAACTTGTCTCTCCACAATAAAACCTACATATATAGCGGCCCTTCGTAGCATGACCACAGGAACTGCTATGTATGAACACAAGCCTACCTGCTGTAGGCCAAAACTAGAGGTTCTTTACTACAGTACGCTAGTCTACTCATGGTCAGGCTGGCCCAACCTCTAGACTATGTAGTTTGCCAAGCTTTGGGCTCGCGGCATATCCCTACGTGCACGTACCTCTCTCAATACTAGGCGCGGTTTGACAACGGCAAGCATCTGCACGGATTCCGTGGTGATTGTATGATGCCCTCGGCGTCGTTGAGCCCACGGGCTTAGTTTCAGTGGTTGGAGACTTGATCTCTCTCGGCACCTCCAATCACGTGAGCGGTTGAAAGCCGCGTAGAACATTTCATGTCCGTACCTGGACGTGTGAAGCACCTTTTAGTGCACACCCTACAGGTGTTGCATATGCATCCAGATACGAAGCCTATTACTGTCTGTTTTTGCTTGCCTCGCCTGCAGCATAGATCAACAGCGGGAGACTGACCACGTCCCCGTAGAGGGGTGACTTCCGCGCACGACTACGAACGGCGATGGTAAGAATAGCGCATTTATCACGCACAAATCCACGTTTTTTCCCTGCTAAACCGTACCAGTGTGCCACGCGACATAGAGCATTCTACTTCATCAATGCGCATTCCTCAACTCCACCAAGCCGGTCTACTTGCCTACTTGCCTACCGGTGTTTCCTGTTCGCTGATTCTCCTTGGGCGCTCTTAACCCCTGATCGACCCAGGAGTTCATCCGCTGACCATTGGACAGGGATTTGATCATGATCGAGGCTATTCCAGCCGCCGGACGATCCCTAGTGTTCATGCTCATGTGCCTGGGTGTCTCGGAAAGTGTCTTGGAACGCCAGGGTAAGACCCGGAGATAGAGTTGAGGTCAATACACGGAATCTTGGAGAATGTCGCCAATATATCCTCGAACATATGCATAGGGCTCCGCTATGAACCATGTTGTACCGTTGCAACTGTTTTTTCCTATTCGCATCTGTTCTTCGGTAGGAGTTGATTCGAGAAAAGACATGGCGGTTTTCTCCAATGAATGGATGGAGGAATTCGGAAGTGGCGCCCTTGGCTGTGTTGGTTCCGCGATAGACGCGTACGAGTGGAGGAATGCTGGCTACGGCAGCAACATCAACTGTAAGTCACAGATTATTGGTCTCTAAGCGTTGACAAAGTACAAATGTGAATGTATCAATTCCCTGACAAACGTGGCGACAAACCTGTAGAGATGCACCATCGCTCCCAGCAATCGCTTGTCGACGTCTACAACTTGAGAGAATTATCCGTGGCGGCGGTTCCCAGTATTCCGGGTCGTCGTGACGAGCTTCGAAGGAGACAGGATGGCCAACTGCATTTGCTCATCAGCACAAAGAAGGTTGGGGTTTTGTTGATGCCGCTCGTTGCTGAATATCGCACAACTTCCTAGCCTAACTGAGAGTGCTCCCACCGCGCCGGAATTCATCCCGCCATCCCCTGCAGTCCTTACCATCGTGTGGGCAAACGCAATGATGGCGGGACGCCAGGACCTCGCCGTCGTTGTTCGGACAGATGAATGGTTCCCTCGGACGATATGCAATGTCACTAGCTATGGAGAAGAAACACGAGGTTGGCCTTGCTTCTTTGCTGAGGTTCCTCACCTGTGCGCCTTCGACGCTGATCAGGTCTGAAGCAGTTCGCTGTGCTTGCACAGTGCCATTCGGTAAGGAAAGCAGCTACGCGTCAACGTTTGACTTGCGAAATTGTACAACAGCCTCGTGTTCCAGCGCGGTGCTTCCGACAAATTTGAATCGCCAAAGAAGATGCAGCGCACGCAGATGTGGTTATAAATAGTTCATGCGCTAGGTCTAATCGGTAAAATTAGACCATCCGACTAGTCAGCACTGACTAGTCGGATGGTCTAATTTTACCGATTAAAAGATATGCTCAGAGCTCGTTAGCACCCGGCCGGATCACATGGGCTTGAGGCTTTGTGGCTTAATCACTGGGATTGAGAGTAGGGATCTCCGGGGCGTACCCCTCGCCAGACGTCGCTGTTTGGTAAACATCTGCAAG